GCTTCTTTGAGACCCACTTTAGTTTCCACACATGTACAAATGAGATCACACAGTATTTGTCTTTCTGTACCTGACTTATTTCACTTAAAACAATATCCTCTTGCTTCATCTATGCTGTTGCAAATGATGCAATTTCTTTCTTTAAAAAACTAAGTAGTATTCCATTGTGTGTATATACACTACATTTTCTTTCTTTCTATTTGTGTAGAATGGGGGTAATTGGAATTGAACCCAGGGGTGCTCCACTATTGAGCTGTACCCCCAGGCATTTTTATTTGATGGTTTGTTTTTGGTTTTATTTTTTGAGACAGGATCCCTCTAAGTTAAGGATCTCTCTGAGTTTCTAGGTTGTATCTAGTAAATATAGTTGTGTTTAATCTGCCAGTCTTATCCGAAAGCATGGACAGGATTTCAAATGTGACCTGTCTCATAATTCCTGAGCTAATACCTACTTGATCACGTCACACTACTTTTTTTTTTTTACCCATTCCTGAATTCGATTTATGGTTACTTTGTTGTGGGATTTAACCGGATGTATTTATTAGTAGCTTGGGCTTAAAAATTTTGCTTCTTAATTTTTAACTGTCTGGTTTTGATAGCAGAACTAAAGTCGCCTCATGAAATGATTTGGGGCCATCTGAAAAAAATTTAAAAGGTTTAGAATGATTTATTCAATTCAGACATGCTGGGGTGCTGGCGATTGTCCCTAAAATTGTGGGAAACTGTGCGGTGTGAGCAGAGGTCAGGATCAGACAGGTTTGGAAGTATTTTATGCATTTCCTCTATTGTTTTTAATTATATTTACTTCCAGGGTTGATTCTTAGTTCTGTTTTCATTTTCCTCAAAGGTGACATTTTTCCTTGATTGTCATACTTCTTGGTAGGAAGTTGTAAAATAATTCATTTTTTTAAGTTTTTTTTTTTTTTGTAGTTGTAAATGGACAGAATGTCTTTATTTTGTTTATTTTTATGTGGTGCTGAGGATCGAACCCAGTGCCTCACGCATGCTAGGCCAGCGCTCTGCCACTGAGCTACAGCCCCAGCCCTGTGAAAGAATTTCTTTCAAAATGTTTTGATCTTGCCCTTCTCTGGAGAAAAAATCCTCTTCCTTATTCTTACCACGGTTTATCTTTTCTTTTGTTCTCTTGACCAGTCTTGCCATTTGGTGGGTCTTTTCAATGAACCACATTTTGTTTTTATAGATTTACTACATCTTGTTTGTTTGTTTGAGATTTAATTAAATTATGCTTTTCATTATTATATTTCTCTACTTATTTTCTTTCCTAATTTCTTACTTCAGACTTGTTGGAAGATTACCTTGTTTTTATTTCCTAATAATGACTTCGTTGAAAACTTAATTTTCTTGTAAATGTTCCTTGTTTTCTAAAGCACACATTTTAGGCTATGAGTGTTCATCTCTGTGCCACTTTGGAAATGTCTGATTTATATGCACTGTCTTCATTGGCGTTAATTTCTTGACCAGTTGTTATTTCTTATTTGATTTGCTCTTTAGCCTAAGAAATGTTTGGAAGGAAACTTTAATGCCTCTTCGAGTTCTCCTTTTGACTTTTCATTATTTATCACACTGTGGTTAGAAAATGTGTTCCTTAGGATTTCTGGTTTTGAAGGTCTATTCCTATTTCTTTTGTGGCCTGATGGATGGTCATTGTTGAGGCTTCTCTGTGTTTGAAAGGTAAATAGTGTAATGATTAACTGCATGGCAAATAATGCCAGATAGGAGACAGGGAGGAGGTGGTAGAGAGGCCAAGTAGGACATCTGAATTCTAGCTCTGCCACCTCCCAGATGTGGAGCTGGGCCAGCCTGGGTCATACCTGTAAAACTGGGGGTGACAGAATTTGCATCCATTGCACGTAGGGGTGTAGCTCAGTGGTAGAGCACGAGGTGAGCATGTGCAAGGCCCTGGGGTCAATTCCCAGCAATACAAAAGAGTGGTACCCATTTCATAAAGGGAGTATGGGGGAGAAATGAGTTAAACCATGTATCAAGCACTGAGAAGAGTGGGGTAAAACAGAGTGAGCACTCTGTGGAACCCCATGGTATGACACCCTGAAATGTATTTATTTGTCATATTTCAAGTTGGTTATTTGGAGAAACTGCAGACACAGGTACTCCTCCAAAACTTTGTTCTTTTATATAATGGAACTGACCCCCATCTGCACCAATAAACAGCAGATGCAGTTCTGGGCTTCTCCATCTGATGTCCCCCTTTCTGCCCAGAAAGATCTTTTCCCAGGAAGGAGAGATTGGGGGTCTGACGCCTGGCCCAGCAGAGATGAGCACAGGTGGCTATTGCCTGGGAGAATTTATTTGTATAACAGGATCCTTCCCTCAACTCTCCATAGATTGTTCCCCCTCTCCCAGAGGCCTGAGCGCCTGTCCTCCTGTGCAGCTCTCTGTAAGAGTCAACCTTCTTGACCTTCTCTGAGTCTCATTCCGAATGTGTGTGGCTCTGTGTTAAATATGTAATAAATTTGTTGTTGTTAAATCTCTATTGTCCGTTGACTCAAAAGGCCTAATTATTGAACTTGTGGAGGAAGTAGGGGAAGCCCCTTTTGACATCTGAAAGATGTCAGATATTTTTAAATGTGCTGCCACGAATTGTGAGCTCTGTCGTACCCATCTATTTAATCCAGGTGCTCATGATTATTTTCAAATCTTTCATTTGATTTGATTTCAGCTCACTAAGTTGGCCAATTTCTAACAACTCTGTGTTAACCTGTTATACTACAATTGTGAGTTTTTGACTTTTCCTGCACCACTGTTAGAATTTCCTTTCAATATTCTTAAGCAGTTTCTTACAGATCATGATTTCTGCTACTTTATCTGGAAGAGTTTTATTTTTAATTTTTGTGGGAAACTTCTACTCAAAGTTAGCTTCTGTGGTGTCCGTAACTCTTTCAACCTAAATGCTTTGTGTTCGTGGTGTTAGTTTTGGCGCAGAACCCTCCCTCACTTTGCATTTGCCTGGTATATCTTTTTTAATTTCTTCATTTTTAATCTTGAGTTGGTTTTTTGGGGTGTGTCTATTATAAATAGAATATAGCTGAATTGTGTATCCTAGCCAACTGAGGTAGCTCTACATTGTACAAACCAAGTTATTCCACTAACAATTATTTTGATCACTGTAGTCTCTGTATTTATTCTTGCTCTTATCTTTCATTTGGTTTATACATGAATTTCTGTTCCTCTCTCACACTAATTCTTACCTGCCTTTGGATTTGTTGCATTTCCTTTGATCTACATTTTTTCCAAATATATATAATTTTTAAAATCCATTTGTCAATGGACACTTAAGGTGTTTCCTTCCTATGTTGTCACTGTCGTGAGTCATGCTGCAGCGAACATGGGCGTCCAGGAATCCCTTTAACATGCAGATTTGACTTCCTTTGCATATATATCCAAATATGGATGGGTTGGTTGCTGGGTCATATGGTAGTTTTATTTTTAATTTTTATGGGAAACTCCATTCTTGCTTTCCATGATGGCTACATGAATTTCCATTCTCACCAACAGTGAACAAGGGCTCCCCCTCCTTCAAATCCTTGCCAACACTTTTTATCTCTTGTCCTTTTGACACTAGCCACTAGCGGTCCTAACAGGTATGAGGCGGCACCACACTGTGGTTTGAGTCTCTGTTTACTGATGTCAAGCTTTTTTTATATAGCTGTTGGCCATTTGTATATCTTCTTGGGAAAATGCCTCTTCAGGTTCTTTGCAAACTTTGAAATGTGATCATTTGTTGTATTGTTCTATTGTATGAGGTCCTTATATACTTTCAATATTCACCCTTTACCAGACACAGGGTTTGCAATACTTTCTCCCTGTCTGTAGGTTGCTTTTTCATCTTGTTTTCTTTGCTGTATGGAAGGTTCCAGTTTGGTGTAATTTTTCTTTATTTTTTCTTTTGTTGCTTATGCTTTTGGTGTCTTACACAAAAATCTCATTGCTAAGACCCATGCCAAGGAGCTGCTTTTCTATATTTTCTTCTAGGATTCTTGTGCCTTCGGGTCTTACATTCATGATTTTAATCCATTTTGAGTTAATTTTTGTGAGTGGTAGAAGATAAAAGTCCAGTTTCTTTCTCTTTGTTTTTCCCCTGTGGATATCCGGTTTTATCAGCACCGTTTGTGGAACAGATTATCTTTTCCCGAAGTGTGTTTGTGGCAATGTTGTCAAGTATTATCTGACTGCACATTTCTGGCACTATCTCTAGGCTCTCAACTGTGTTCCTCTGGTCTATGTCCCTGATTTTATGCCAGAAACATGCTTTTTGATCACCATAGCTATGTGATACAGTCTGAGATCAGGGGATGTGGTGTCTCCAGCTTTGCTCTTTCTCAAGATTACTTTGGTTTTTGCTCTCTTCTGTGTTTCCATTACAAATCTTGGAATTATTTTTCTATTTCTACAGAATGCCATTGGAATTTTGATTGGGATTGCTTTGAATCTGTAGGTCACTTCAGGTAGTGTGGACATGTTAGCAATATTTATTCTTCCAACCATGAACACAGCATTATTTATTTATTTATTTCTGTCTTTTTCAGCTTCTTTTATCAATCATAGACTTCAGTACAAATCTTTCATTTTTTGGTTTAATTTATTTTTAAGAGTTTTATTTTTTAAATTTTTTTTTGCTATTGTAAAAGAGATTGCTTTCTTAATTTCCTTTCCAGATAGTTCATTGCTAGTGTACAGAAACACAACTGATTTTCATATATTGATTTTGTATCCTGTAAGTTTATGAATTTGTTTATTAGTTCTAACTGGTTTTTTTCTGGAGTCATCAGGATTATATATATATATATATATATATATATATATATATATATAGTCATGTAATATATATATATATATATATATATGTAGTCATGTAATATATATATATATATATATATATATATATATATAGTCACGTAATCTACAAATAGAGAGTTTTACTTCTTCCTTTCTGATTTTCATCCTTTCCTTTCTTTCTCTAGCCTGATTCCTATGGCTAGGACTTCCAGTACTGTTTTGAAGAGGTAAGTGAGAGTGAACACCTTTTCTTGTTCATTACCTTAGAGGAAAAGTTTTCAGCTTTTTGTTCTTGAGGATGCCAGCTGTGGACTTGTCCTATATGATCTTTATTATATTGAGATGCATTCATACTATACCCGATGTTTGAGAATTTTTACCATGAAAGGCTGTTGAATTTCATCAAATGTTTTTTCTGTAACTGGTGAGATAATGGTGTGAGCTTTGTCCTGCATTCTAGTAATGCGAGGTATCACATTTATTGATTTGCATATATTGAACCATCCTTGCATTTCTTGCATCCCTGGAATAATGGTAATCGGTCCTTTCAGCGTGCTTTTGAATTTGGTTTGCTAGTGTTTTGTTGAGATTTTTTAACTTGTTTTCATCAGGGAATTAGCCTGAAGTTTTCTTTTCTTGAGGTATTTATCTGGGTTTGGTATTAGAGCAATGCTGATCTTTTTAGGAAGTGTTGTCCCCCAATTTGATTATTTTTTTTCAGCATTGAGAAGAATTGGTATTATGTTAAAAGTTTGGTAGAAATCTCCAGTAGAGCTATCTGGACCAGGGGTGCTGGTGCTGTTATCATCGTTTTGTTTTTTTGTTGTTGTTTTGATAGGAGAGTTTTAGTTACAGATTCAATGTCCTTACCTGTTATTGGTCCACTCAGATTTTCTTTTTTTCTTGAGGTACTATAGGCTGTATTTCATATATATATATATATATATATATATAGTGTGTGTGTGTGTTGCTAGAGATCAAACTCAGGGCCTAACAAATGCTAGGCAAGCATTCTTCCACTGAACTACATCCCCAACCCTGATAGTCTCACGATCCTTTGCATATTTGTGGTACCAGTTGTAATGTTTCTTCTATTATTTATACATTTATTATTTGAATTCTCTCTTCTTTTTTGTTACTTCAGCTAAATGTCAATTGTGTTTACAGTCTCAAAGAACTAACTCTGGTTGGTTTGTTTTTAAATTATCTCTGGTCTATTCTCCATTTTTTTCCCTTCTGTCTGGTTGCTTTGAACTTTGTTTTACTTCCTTGAGGTATAAAGTTAGATGGCTCATTTGAGATTTTTTTTTTCTGTCTTACTGAAAATTTTTATAACTATTAATGTTCTCTCAGGATTACTGTTGCTGTATCCCATAAGCTTCAGGTTGTTCTGTTTCCATTTTTGCTTGTCTCAAGGTATTTTGTGCCAGGTGGGGTGGCGCATCCCCGGCTAGCCCCTTGGGAGTCTGAGGTGGGAGGATCCACACTGGAGCCTGCGAGTTTGAGACCAGCCTGGGCAACATATTGAGACCCCATCCCCACCAGCCCCCTAAAGTTTTGGTTGTCCTTTTGGTTCCTTTGGTCTTGCTGCTTTCCAAAGTCTATGAATTTTGACAGTTCCATTTCAGTGTTCTTTGTGTAGACATTTTGGGTTCTATCTATTTTGGGACCTTTGGACCTCTTGAGTCTGGATGTCCATTTCTTTCCCCAAATTTAGGAAAATTTAAGCCATTATTTACTATTTGTTTTAAGTTGACAAATAATTATATATTTATGGAGTACCACATGATGCTATGATATTTGTATATATTATGAGATGACTATTTTTTTAAAGAAATTGATGTCTCTCTCTCTCTCTCTCTCTGTCTCTCCCTTTCTCCCTCCCTCCCTCCCCCTCTCCCTCTCCCCCTCACTCTTCTCTCTTCTCCTTCTGGACTTCCCATAATGTGTATATTGTTTTACCTGATGGTGTTTCATAAGTCCAATAGGATTTATGAGAAATTATTTTTATTATTTCTTTCTTTATCCTCCTGTGACTGGACAATTTCAAGTGACCCATCTTCAAGTTCAGATAATTTCCTTTATTCAACTGAGTCTGCTGTTGAAGCTCTTGAGACATTTTCTTTTTCAGTCACTGTATTCTTAGCTCTAGGATTTTTAAAAATTTGACTTCTGTTTCTTTGTTAAAGTTCTCATTTTGTTCATGTATTGTTTTCCTTCTGTGCCTTCTTTAGGTCACTGAAGATTATTCTGAATTCTTTGTGAGTCAGTTCATAGGTGTCTATTACTTTAAAGCCAGTTTCTGGAGTTTATTAGTTTCCTTAGGTGCTGTCCTTTTTTCTAATTATTCATGATCCTTATGTCTGAACATTTAAGGAAGCAGTAACCTCTTCCAGTCTTTGTAGATTTGCTTTTGCTCTGGTGTGGGGAAGGGCCAGGGCTGGCCCTGTAATCAGGTGTGTTCGAAGTCAAAGCTTCACACTCAGGTGGAGTCCTTGGCTGGGTTTCCCTTTGCACTGGGGCAGCTGGCTGTGCTCAGAGATCAGTTGGGGTTACTCTCAGCCCTGTCTGGGGAGCATCACACACTGTAACCCACAACTTGTGCTTGCTACATGGGCTCCTTAGTCAGATGGTGTCACTCTCCAGGCTTCCTGGTCAGACAATGCTGAAAGCTCTGCCCAACATTTGTGTGTGGTCACTGACTGGGCTACGTCATTGAGTGGGGCTATAGGTCATGCTTCTAAATGGGGCAGGATCATGGGCTGAGCTCTCTGCCAGAGCATGACTGCAGGATGTGCTCAGCGTCCAGACAAGGATGCAGTCTTGGCTGGGGGCCACATGCTGTACCCCACATGGGAAGGAGTTGCTGGGTTGGTTTCTTGCTGTGCAGTTCATAGGCTGGCCTCTGAGGATGGACAAGTTCACAGTTGGTGCTCTTTGGTTTTGGGAACTAGAGGCTGTGCTCTGCTGTTGGGCACAGTCATTGGTTTGTTTACTTGTCCAGACAGGGGCATAGGCTGGGTTCTGAGGCTGGGCATGGTCACTGATTGGCTTCTCTGGTCTACTTCATATGTAGGCAGATTGCCAGCTTGGCTCCCTGCCCAGGAAAGGCTGTGGGCTGTGTTATAGCAAAGTGCAGGGTCAGTGTCGGGGCTCTCTGGTTACTTCATATGTAGGTAGGTTGCCAGCTTGGCTCCTTGCCCAGGTGATGCCATAGGCTGTGCTCTGGGGCTGGATGGGGCTCTTATTGGTCTGCTTAATTGGGTGGACCCAGAGGCTATTTTCTGAAATCAGGCGGGTCCCAAGCCTGGCTGCCTGCTCTGGCCGGGCTAGACTGCTGGCTAGGAACCTAATCTGGGCAGAACTGCTGAGCATGCTCCCTGGACAGACAGTCACAAGTGTGGCTCTATAGGTGGGCAGAGCCACTGAAGGGCTTTCTGATAGAGTGCCTCTGATGGCAGGAACCTGGTGCTGTCACCAAAATGGGATGCCTGCACCCTCTGTTTCTGAATGACCCCAGTGGTCTAGCCTGTTGATTCCTCCAGAATTCCCCACTGGGCAAGACAGGAATGACCTCCCTGAAAGCACCTCAGCATTCTGGGGGAGCTAGATGTCCTCCTCAGGCTCTGTTTTTACCCACTGAAGAAACCTTAGCCCAGGAGTCCCCTGTTGGAAGGAATGAAGGCAGCCTGGGGAGGAAGCACCAGAGTCAACACGAAACTGCTCCTCCTAACCATCTAGTGTGACTTTTCTTCTTTTTCCTGTAGTCAAAGGGGGTTGGTTCAGCCCACACCCCAGGTCTTTCCTGTGGATAGCTGCTAGTTGATCTTCCTGTGATGGTAACTAAAGCCAGAGACTTCCTCTTCTGCCATCTTGCTGATGCCGGGCCCTCCGCTGGTCTTGGGTCTTTTCATTCTGGGGAATTTTTTTCTTTGTTTTATTTGATTTCCTTATTTTTGTACTTTCTATTCTCTCCTGAAATTCCCGTTTGTGGAATGCTAAAGCATCTTATGCAGTGTATCTTTGTCTTTCACATTTTCTATACTTTCCCCTGCATTCCAGAAAGAAAATGTGGCTCATTGACTTACTCTTCAACTGAGTCTACTCAACTATTGGGGCACCCACTTTTATTTTTTAATAGCTTTTCTGGAGGTTTGGCTTACATGCTGTAGAATTCACCTGTTTTAAGTGTACAATTCAGTGGGGTTTTGTGTTGTTTGTTTATTTGTTTTGTAAATGTGCAGATTTGTGCAACTGTCACTAGTTTAGAACATTCTCATACCACCCACCCCCCAAATTCCTCATGGTTATTTGCAGTAAATTCTTATTCCTCTCCCCTGACCCTAGGCAACCAGGAATATAATTTCTATCTCTATAGGTTTTCTTTTCTTGGACATTCAAATCATACATGGTGTAGTTTTCTGTATCTGGCTTTTTCTTTCTTTTTGTGGGGCATGGGGAGGTACCAGGAATTGAGCTCAGGGGCACCCAAGCACTGAGCCACATCCCCAGCCCTTTTTGTATTTTATTTAGAAACAGGGTCTCACTGAGCTGCTTAGGCCTGGTGTTGCTAAGGCTGATTTTGAACTCGGCGATCCTCTTGCTTCAGCCTCCCAATAATCATAACACTTTTGAGGTTCATCTTTGTTACAGGATACAGTTGTTTTGGTTGCTTTTTATTGCTGAATAGTATTTTATCTTATGGCTCTACCAATTTTATTTATCCATTTATCAATCAATGGATATTTGGGTTGCTCTCACTTTTTTGGCTATTGATAAGGCTCCCATGAATATTTGTATGCAAGTCTTTGTACGGAAATATGTTTTCATTTCTAAGAGGATGCATAGGAGTGTGGAATTGTCAAATCATTCAATAACATTGTGTCTAACATTTTAAAAATTATCTAACATTTAAAAAATTAGATCCTGTAGAGGCTGCAACTAACACAACATTTTCAAAGGATCATCTTACACTCCCACCAGCACTATGGAAACACTACAGCCTTGCCAACACTTGTAATTTTATGTCTTTGAGTGTAGCCATTCTGTCATGTGTATTGATGTCCTATTATAGTTTTGTTTTTTCCCTGATGAATAATGATGTCGAACATCTTTTCACAATTGTATTGCTTTCCATTTATATTTTTGGAAGAATATCTATTCAAATCATTTACCATTTTTAGATCCCATTGTCTGTCTTCTTATTAGTTGTAAGAATTCTTTGCAT